CTAATGTTTATGATTAATTTTGGCTGTGGCCTTTCCTTTCAGAATTTCTATGGTGTCAGTTCAAATTGGTAAGGGGGAAGCCTGAAAAGGTTAAAGCGTGAACCATATACTCACTTTTCCTTCCAAAGTAAATACTACAACAACAATGCACATGGGAACCAAACAGCACATTCCTAAATCAAACCAGAAGATTAACGCAAGGAACTAAAACAGTAGGATTCAAGAGGGTGTGCTTCTGCCCTTCTTTTTCTTTTTTTTTTCTTTTCAATCCAAAGGATACATTTTCAGAAGGATGTCTTGGGAATTTGCTCAACACAACCCAACGAGCAAAAAAGACAGATTGGCATCAAATTTCTTGTGCTCACACTACTTAAAAATTAATATTTTCTTTGTCCCTTTTCCCTCAAAAAATATTCATTAAAGTAAGGTGAATGATTCTCAGCTGTTCAATGCTGTTTAAAGGAAAGAACATGCTAGCATCACAGTGTGATGCAAGTTTATATTTTGAATGTACGTTAATCTTGATTTTGGAAAATATCCAGATTTTCTTCCTGGCTTTGTATAGGATCTTTAGCCTCATATGCAAGCCATTCTCTTTTTATGAATCTTAACTCTCTTCCCAGCTTCTGGAAACTTTGATTCCTCTTCACATTTTTCAATAATGCAATTTGTTCAGAGTAAACTTGCAGATGGATTTGGTTTGATACTTTAGAAGATATTTAAGACTAAAGACATGGGAAATTTCTTATAAAATATCAAGACATTCTTTTTGTTATCAGGACATGGTGTGTGAGAAGAAAGAAATGAGTAGAAAGAAGACATATTCTTATGGTATAGCGAAAATATAAAAAAATATGATATTACATGTAATCTGTAAAGATGATGACTTCAGAAGCACGTGGGTCAGAATCTGATGAAAATGGTCCATTGTAGTTTTTGCATTTGAAATACATCATCAAAGCAAAGAGGAAAAAATTGTATGAACTGATGATGACTTTAAGTCGGGCTAAAAGGGCAAAATTCATGTGATGAAATACCTCTTTTCTCTGTTTCTCTTTACACTAGTAACTAATTTCTGTAGTCAGAGGATACATTTGGCATGCTTTCCTTCTAAATTCAGAGAACTTAAGAAAATTCAAATTTTTAAAATTACTGAACTTCAGTCTCTAAGAATAATGTACAGGGAATTTATACATCTCAAAAATTAAAAGCATGCTGTGATAATTAAAACCCTATTATCCCATATCATGAATGCATGTTCTCCCCTGAACATTTGCATCGTACTATCTCACGAAGAAAGGGTGCTTGTGACTGCTTCGAGTTGCATATAAAAGTAGCACTGCCAGCCTTCATCAATACCTCAATGGAAACCAAAGATTCTCAAATTAAAAAAAAAAAAAAGGGTACAACACATTTCTGATTGCTGCATAACCAACAAATGGCACAAAATACTGCTATAGTTTCTATAAGCAGGATAGGCAAAGAAAACGCTTCAACAATATTTGCCTCATTTTTGAGGTTGATAAGGGAAATGAAAGATAGAAAAATAGAACAAACATTTTAAAAGGTTTCCCTTAACTCACATATATGGACCTTTGAAGCTCACTTCATACGGCCATTCGTGGCTCAAGCTTTTCATTAAGGCATTAACTTTAAATTCTACTGCTTTGCAGTTTACATAATTGTACAATACTTGGTGTTACTGGCATTATTTTGATTAGTTACGAATCATACAATGTCCTTGCCTCTGTGACTAGCAGAGTCTAAAAAAAAAACAAAAAAAAATTGAGCACTGGTACAAATACTTGTAAGTTTGACCCATAATCTGGCTGAGAAATTTGCGTATCTATTAATGGCGACAATTTCATAAATCATTTCCAATGCTTTAATCATCCTTTGAAGTCTTGGCATTTACAGTTTGAATATACTTCATTATTAGTAACAAACAGATGTTGGAAATGGACAAATGCATATTCATGTAGCATGGATTTCTTAAACAGGGAGACAGAAAGCCAGATAAAATACTAAAAGGGAACAGTGTAAAAGGGAAAAAAAGAGAAAGAAGTAGACTTATAACATATTGTGATTGAAAAAATTATCCTTCACTCACCCCTCACATTCTTTTTAAGGAGTTGCAGAGGGTTTTCATGAATGCCCAGCATGCTTAAACAAGTTTCACTGAGAAAGAATAAGTTGTAAAAGTCAAATCACCACTCATTTCTTCTGAGGCTGTCTTCAGCTGCGATCTGCAAAGCTTTAGTTTTTCTCAGAGGCAGACACAGGGTATTCTAAGACCAAACTTAAACATTCCTAATTTAAGCACGTAGGAACTACCTGCGCAAGAACAACTGGTAGTACAATTTCCTACAGGGCTGCTCCAAAAGTAATGCCTCCTATATTATTATATTGGCTTACAATGTCAGAGGAGGATGTTGGTGGTATGGCAGTAGAGGCTGAACCTTCCCACCAGCACTCTGTTAAATTTTGCTGCAGTTTGACAGATAGCAGCAGAGGGCAGTCTGACCAAATGGCATCTGACATGGAAGTGCGTATGAAGCAAAGCAGTGGCATTGAATTCTTCCACTTGGAAACAATTGCATCCATTGACATTCACTGATGTCGATGGAGACTGAACAGTGGATGTGAGCACAGTGAGGTTGTGGGTAGTGTGTTTCAGCAGTGGTGTCAGCAACATGAAAGATAAATCATGTTCTGGACAGCCATGTAGATTTCTAAGAGTGTGGTATGCAGGCTTTCTTTCATTGCTGGTGAAAATACACAGTAATGGTGGTGACTGTTGAAAATAATGTTTTTTAGCTGAGAATCTGCTCTATCAAATAGCATTATTGTGCTCTTTGTATCTGTTGAATTTTCCATGGAAATAAAGAGGAAGCATTACTTTCAGAGTGTCTGATGCATAATCTCTATGTAAGTAACTTATGTGCATCCAGAAGAGGGCCACAAAAATGATCTCAGGGGTGGAACACCTCCCCTGTGAGGACAGGCTGAGAGAGCTGGGGCTCTTCAGCCTGGAGAAGAGAAGGCTCTGGGCAGGAGACCTGAGAGCTGCCTTTCAGTGTCTATAAGAAGAAAGGGAATAGACTCTTTAGTAGGATCTGTTGTGACGGGACAATGGGAGATGGTTTCAAACGAAACAAGGGGAGATTTAGATTGGACATAAGGAAGACATGTTTTACAATAATGGTTGCAATACAACGAGGTTCTCTGAAATTACTGAATTGTGTAAATAATATATGCCTATTAATTAAAAGCAGACAATATGTATTATAACCTTTAACAGCAGGCTAATTTCATTTTGTATTTATGAAATAACACTTTTAAATAACTTTAAAGCTGAAATACAATAACAAATAATGAAGAATTCTACAACATAACAAACAAGCTTTATATCTGATGACAGCTTTCCATATTGAGAAGAGAAGCATTTATGCTCAGCTTTGATGCTATTATATAGGTTTATTCTTGGAACTTCACTTTATCTGATGTATTTACTGTGTGGTACTTTCTCAGAATAACAGACACAGCACAATGGCAAATACTGCTCTTTGGCTAGATCTCATCAGATATTGAAAAAATGCTACATACCATGAAGCTCGACAGTTCAAGAGCATCTGTATTCCTACGCTTCTTTTAGACCTGAGGGTAAAATTTAGGTTCTTGATGAACACTAGGTCATGTGAATAAAGAACAATCTGGCATTTGACATCTTGGTGTAGCAGTAGAATTCCAAGCTAAGATGCTCATAATGTCTCTTCAACAGTACCTCATTTTACTACATTAAATGAACTAGACAATAAAAAGAAAATGAAGAGACAGTGAGTGTCCTTCTAAGTTGGATTGCTTTGGCTTAGTTAATTTGAATTAGGGGGATCTAACTCGTTACACGTGCTTTAACTATTCAGTGTCTATCTATATATTTCTAACATTCTCAGCACTGTGCTGAGAGGGATGCATTTAAGCATCTCTCATATTTTCCCAATACATGTGTATCCCTTCTCTTCTACAGAAAGCTAATTGTAAACAGTTCTTCACATTTGGTTCATGTCTAAATCTTGGTGATTATTTCCATCTAGCATCTCCAATTAATTTACATAACTGTTTGTGTTCTTGTCTGAATTCTCAGTACAGTATTCTCTTCTGTGATGAGAAGTGCATCTTTTCAAACAAAAAACACTGGTTTGATCATATCACTATAGATCTGTTGAGTATCTCCACTGATTCCTTCTCTTAACTTGAGTTTTATAATGATTTTCAAGGTCCCTCATAGAGTATCTTGTACGATCTGTTGACACGATCACTCCTCTGATTGGCTAACAATTTTTAAACACTATGCTATTCTCAAAAATATCTAAAAATAAATAATTTTCCCTCCTTCTTTTTTTCTCTTTCTTTTTCCTTTTTGATGTGTGATGCCAAAACCCCCTCAAAATGGTTGAAGTATTTGGCTTTTCAGAAAGTTGCCTAGCATCCTGACAAAGATGCTGCCAGTTCTGTACTCCCTCAATGATCAGTTGCTCAGGTACTGGGTAAATTACTCTATAATTTTATCCTTAAGTTGGTGCTGTTTCCTATTCTAACAGTAGAGAAAGTAGAAAAAATGTCTGCAATGATCTACAATAAGATTTCCTAGACTATCAGTATAGAGTACTACATGTAACATTAAAATACAGGTAAAATGATAATGTAATTTACATTGTGATTTTTTTTTTCCTTAGATAATAGAACCCATGTATTAGTGTCTGAAGACATGAAAGATACCTCCTTTGTGACAGTATTTTAACACATACTTTTTGCGGGTACCATACTTTGAATTCTTGAAAGTCATTTAAGAGCTTTTCAATATTATGTATTTAGAAATGGTAAAAGTTGCCAAAGGTAACATGAGAACTAAAGGAAATCCACATCCCCAGAAGTGTGTGCAAATTGTCTGTGACACAACCTCCCAAAATATTTATTAAAAGAACTTCAAAAACTTTACATCTGTAAAGATTATTTTATTACTTATTTTACTTATTTTAATTCTTTGCAGATCTCCAAAATAATCTGAATCTTTTAAACAAGTGCACACAATGTACAATATTGACTGGATCAGTAGAGTAAATAAAGAAAACATTATTGTGACAGAGGTGTTTAAACAGAGAAACCTGCAGTACCTCAGTAATAAGTTTTACATACAAATTTTAAATACAATTGATAGGATGAAGGAAAACACTGAGGAGGAAAATATAGTCTTTTATTTACAGATAATGTTTCCTCAAGAACTTAGTTTAAAAATAAATACTCCATTCCATTACAATAACTTTTACAAAGTTAATCATGTGCACGTTTTGTTTTTGAGAAAATTAAACTTTCATTTACATAGTAAACAGACACACACACATACGCAATTACAAAGTGAAGAAGGAAAAAAGCACCTTAATCTATTAACTTATTCTTGGATATTTATGTTACGTTTAGCTGAGAACTACTCAAAGGACTTCAATTCCTGAAAATAAAATACTAAACCATGCTACTACTCTGTTATTTTTGCAGTACATTTTGTGGGATGAAAAGTGCAAAGTTGAGCTTAATTCAAATGACAGCAAATATATTAATGCTGAGTGTGTATGTAACATACGGGCAAAACTATGATTTTATTAAAGTAAATCACATGCAGACACGAGAGACTAATCCCTGTGAAACTTGCTGGGCACATACAGAATATTAATAGCACTGCTAGAGAATTTGCCATTTTGCTATATCTTCAAAGAGATGTTAAGGAGCCAAAGAAGCCTGTATTTTGATGTTTTTGAGTCAAATAGAGAGAAGAGAGGGAAGAGTACCAACAGCAATAATGTTCAACAGTGCAACTATTCAACTCAAATTGATTGGAAAGGAAAACAAAAAAAAAAACCTCAAAATAACTAAAAAGAAGTTGAAAATCATACTATAATCCTACTAAAAACACTTTCTAGATGCCAACTCTGATTCCTCCAAAAATAATCTTTCCCTATTTTTTCTTCCTAAAACATTTGAACATGTCTAAGCTTCTAGCTTTGTACTTCAGAGAGTACTAGCTGAGTGGTATTCTGTATGAAATGACAGGCTGCATTTTCAAAATCAAACCATGAAACTTTAAATAATCTTTTCAAAAATATTGGAACATTTAGAAGCCTAAGACTCACTGAATGATTCCAATGTGCTGAAATTAGTTTTTAAAATAAATGTGGCCTTTTTCTGTTGCCCTGTAAGATATTAAAATTTTACTCATTCTGCTCTCACAGTACCTATGATTTGCTTGCAGTTCTTTTGGACAGAGCAGCTTTTGTTAGTAAGTCTGATATAGCTGAAATACACTGTCATCACAATAAGTATGTATTTTCAAAAAATACATACTGCTGGTCATCAGCTGGACATTCACAACTTTGCTGAGGACTTATACAAGAAACAGCACATTTCCCCAGTCTCTGTAAACAGTCCTTATCAAATTTCATCTTACATAGTCCATGAGCTTTATTTTCCTTTGCAAATTTCAAAGCAGGTGCAGTAGGATAAGAATGCAATTCATTTGACAAAATCTTTTCTGAACTTAACATCTGAAAATCCTCTCCAGTCTCTTCCTTTTTCAAGTATATGCAAATGAAACTGTTGTTCAGGCTACAGTAGCACATAGACCTGTTGATCACGCACATTAATTACTTACTTGACTTGTGCTCTGAGGAAAATATGATGGAAAATATTTATAAAACATAATGCCAGTCACTGTGATAGAATTCTCACGTCACTTGTACTTTTGGTCTCAAATAGAGCAAAAGTCTTGATTACATAATTAAATGCACAAGTTCTGTCTCCAACTCAAAGAAGCAGGCTTTCTCAGAGTAAAATAGTAAGGTAAGAAATGTTTAAATACATTGTGCTGATTATCTAACCCTTTGAAACTGAGTTGTTTAGGTGAATTACATTCAAATCATGCTCAGGAAAGCTGAATAAGTCTTTGCTGTGGTTTGGAAGATAAGTGATCTCTTCACCCAAAGGTAAGATTTTCTTGGAGCTTTAACAGCTAGTTTTGTAAATGCACAACTTTAATAAAATGTGAGCGGGGAAAAGGACAGGAATTCATTAGGCCAGTCTATTGAATTTGAACATTACAGGGAATCTTTAAGGAATGAAATTCAGACATGAACCTTTTAATTTCTTCACTGTCTTTCTAGAACACACTAGACTGTAACACAAAATGAATAATTGAAATGAAAAGGAATCAGAAGTACTGTTTTCATGCAGAAAGGAAAAAATAATAATAATCACTTCTATTCCTCCACCTTCCTGTCAGATTTGAAAGAAGTATGGAAAAATGATCTTGCTCTATTTTGCTTTGTTATGAATTGGTGAATTTCCCCCTGAAGTCTAGAATAAACTCACATCACAAAAAGCTTACTCTACTGAAGTAAAAAACCAACCAACCAACAAACTACAAAAAAACTATGGCTTTTACCCCATGCATAGTGATTAGCTGCTAATGGCAATACATTCCTTAAATTACAACATACTAAGAAATAAGCAGTAGGTACCATTCATACAATACATATGTTCATTTGATAACTAGATGCTTTAAGGAGCAGGAAACAACACTGTATTCTTGGATCTCTACATGGTTATGCAATTTCTATAATGTGTTATCTATGGATGGTTGCTCAGGATGAGCATTTGCCCAATTACTATGGAATGTATGTACATGGCATGCCAAATGAGAGCAAAAAATTTGGAACTGCAAGCTTGATCTCTCCAGGTGAGAGCAAATATACCATTTGGATCTTTTAATGAGTAATTCACATGGTGCATACACACACACACACACACACACACACACACACACACACACAGAATTGCTTCAGATTCCAAAAAAGATTAAAGGAAGACTTGCAATCAGTGAAGAGATGTCACAGCTCCTCTTTCTAAAAGCCACTGGAGCTTAACAAGGATGCTGTATGCCAGAGACAACACAGTACACAAATCTTAGACCATGCCAATACTCTTTAGGACTTCGAGTTTATCAGGTTAGAATTTAATGGGAATTACAGAAAACAAACAAACAAACAAACAAAAAAACAAAAAAACACCCCATTATCTTCAGGATTATATTTTACCCCGGGGAACTTGTAATTGCATTGAAAAGAATAGCCATCAGTAGTGATAGAATCTGGCACATCATTTACCCTAAGCTATGACTACTGGTTTATGATCAGACAAGGCTGACAACTCAGATGGTGTGGGAGCCAAATTCTTCCTAGCCCTTGAAAAACATGAAGATTCCTGTTAGGGCAACACTGGAAAACCTGAAATGAAACTGCCTGTTGGCACCTCTGTTAATGAATCCTTTTTTAGAGGTCAGAGCACAATAGAAAAGTAAAAGTGATTCTGTTCATATTAAATTATATGAGCAACAAAAACAGAAATATAGGCACAGAAGAAAGAAATTTGTATATGAATGCAAAATCTCTAAAATGTACATGGATCAATTAAAGATTACATACTACTATCATACAAAGTTTCTGCTTTTTTGAAAGAGTCTGATAGCTTCTACTTTAATCTTTTACAGCTATGTTCCCCTTTCCCTCTGAAAATATGTATCCCTTGGACTATATTTTCCAGTCTCCCAGTAGGCCCTAGTACAATCCTGATTTGGGGAATTGAACTGCAGAATAACGCCATAATAGCAATGGTTTTAGGAGTTGATGGCCAATGGCAAACAGCTTCTTTCTCCATCCTCCAAAAGCTCTGAGAGCTCCAATACCTTTTGACAGCAGATCCTACTGCAGAAAGAGTAATAGATTCTATAAAGAGGCTTCATAATTCCTCAATATTAGATTGCTGAAAATTAAATTGAGGTGATAAAATGTGAAATGAAATTAATCCGAAATACCTGATGAAAAAAAAAGTCTGCCTTTAATTTATTCTAAGCAGTCAGAAACAAAACAAGGTGGCCAATACTGTTCTACCTCATGAGAAAGATTATACCACATGATAATCTCCTCCCAGGAAAGTGGTGCAAACACATTTTTATCCCCAGCACTTACATTTTACAAAGAGGCTCCAGATGAAAAGCCTGAATTCCATGAGGTAGTGCTCAAAATAATTTACTGTCTGTTGAAGCTCATCAGTTTTCTGGAATTACTCTAAGATATTGTGCAAGCTTAAGTGTGGGGGAAAAAAAAAGAAATTTCATGTGTACATTTTGCACGACGTTTCTTGTACCCAAGTTAAATTCCCACCCACGTGCTCAAAAATGTTGACATAAGCTGAGGAACTATGGTTTCTGTGATTCTCATATTTCACATGTTGAAATCTAAAGTAATATTGCCCTCAGACTTAGCTTGAGGATCCTTAAGACAGTATTGGATTCTGCAGCATATAAGTTTGTTACCTTGTAATTACCACAATATGCAACAGACATATTAATCATTTGAAAAACAAATGTCTATAATTAGAGAATAGTTTACTGCATTATGTTCTATGTCACACTATTTGTGGTGTATTTTTAAATTTAAAATCACAACAAGAGTTATTCTAGCTTGGATAAAAACTTTATTACAGATAAGAAAAAAAAAAATTATTGGGTCTTTTTACATACTTCTAGATTCTTCTGTCAATAGGGACTATCTGAGCTTGTAAGTCAATGGGTATGAGAGTACACTTAAAACATCAGAACTGAGTCCAGTAAGTTGTATTGGATAGACAAACTTTCCACAAAGATGTTCCATCCTAATTTGAAAGCATCAGAGAAGAATGGAGAAGCACTGAGAATGGAGAAACCACAGTTACTTTTGCTACCTACTTTCAGTGGTTAACTAGCCTCATTAGGAATAGTTTGGAATTTACTTCTAATTTTAATTTCTTATCTGTTTTTAATTGTCAGAACTCTTTTTCTTTCTGGCTTTAGGAGCCACTTCCTAACATTTTCTCTTTTTAAAGCCATGTATTGACTACAGTTAAGCTGTATCTTGGCATTCTATATTCTTTATGCTTACATGCATATACATAGGCTTACCTTCATATGAAAAAATACCAAAGAGAATTTTCCAGGCTGCATCTACTATAAAAAATTAAGAAACTGTGGTGGATTTGAAAAAGAATAAATAATAAATGAGATCCATATCAAAATTAAACAAGATCCAGACAAGGCCAAGAGTGAGCAAAACCTAGATAGATATACTTTTCTAACACTATAAGTTTAGCCTGTTACCTAAGCACAGATTAGGAAGATGGATTTTTGAAAGCACATTGATGCTGTAATGAGATGAATATTTTGAATTTGTTTGGGTGTTTCAGAAATTCTGCACCCATACAAGATTAAGGCATTCATTTTTAAGATATAGGCCTGAAGCAATGAAGAAATAGCATCACTAAATAACTAAATACAGAACATTCTGCTGTCTCATATCACTCAAGTAGGAAAGATAACAAAGAAATTGCTATACATTTACTAGAAATCAGGACAATGAGAATTTGTGCCTCATATGGAAAGCAAAATATTCTGTACATGTTTCATGTAGAAAACAATTAGACTAGTCAGACATACCCTGGCTGTTAATATCTGGTTGCAGGAATATCCTCAGCAATTCAGAAAGTTTCAAATCCCAGGTAAACTTTATCCTTCCTAGAACTGCTTAAGACTCTTAATTATTTTTCTCTCTGCTTTCTGAGTATTCCACTGTACTTTCATTTTCCATATGTACAGAAACTACAGTTTCTGTTTTGTTGAAAAAAACTATATTCAAACTACACAACTTACAATCCTAAAATAATGCACATGGTAAAACACGTGAGTCATGGCAAAATACATGGGTAGTTTTCATAAATTAATATGAACACCATGAAAATGTAATTTTTACTGACAAAATACCTCAAATGCTAAAAGGTCTTTCATTTTACTATCAGTAAGCAATAACGTTGTAAATAAGTTAAAGAGCATTTCACAGATTAGAGAGTTACTAATCTAAATTAAGTTTTTCCTAATCGTCCAGTTTATAAATTAGCAACACATACCATTTTTACGTGCAGTAAGCACCCAGTGAGTAGAAAGGGTTTTAATACTGCTTTTCTTAACAGATTTTGAGAAACTTGGCAATAATAGGAGAGTAAAAAACATATATTCTTCATAGCATACAAGTATTTTAAATGAAGTAGCTTTGAAAAATAGTAACTGTGTAGCTATGGTTGCTTGGCTTTATTTACTCCATACTTTTACTTCCTTGACAGCAGTGTAATCACGTACCTTGTACAAGTCGTCTGTTCCCTTCCATCTCTTTACTTTCATCCTTTTGCTTTCTCTCCTCTTTTTCTTCCCCTCTAAACTAGAAAACTGAGGGTAAAATGAGGCACCAATCTAAATTTAAGTTTCAAACATTACTTCTGGTGACACTTGCTGACCTCAAGATGAGTCGTCTTGGTTGTTTGTTACGTCTGTAGTCCCTAAATATGTTATAATTTAACAGCTTACATAGATACATAATATCTGTTAATATCTCTTCATTAAACCAATAGTTTAGTTGAGGTCAGCACATGTACTGTTTGTCACTGTCTGATGACACCTCTTGGCAGCACTAGTGTCAGTGTGGTATTTAGGGGGTGAGTCAGATATTTAGCTGATGAATTCCATCCAAAAATGTCCAAATTTTCAGTAACAGAATTAATTAAATAGTCTAGATGTATTTTTTTCTACATCACTTAAAAACAGTAAAATCAATAGTACAGTTAATAGATAATGAAGTTGTAATCTAAATCTCTATTTTAAGAGTGAAGTTGGTATAAATGTGAATAAGGAAGAAACAGTATATCTGTGCAGTGTAAATTTTGGAGATTTCTGAACAATAGCCTATGTTCTCAATATGTTGGCAAATTTATAATCTGAAAACAAAAAGAAGAATTATACATCTAATCAAGGAACACTTTACATCAAAAATTTTAATTTTAATCCCTTTTTATATACATTTTTCAATACTGCAAACTGAAAAAATCACTTTGAACTGAAAAATGAAATTTCACAGAGAGAGATTTTGAAACAGGATATGTCAAGAACTTAAAAATGCTTTCCACAGTATATTTTTAATAAGAATTCGCAACATCAGTCCTTATTTCACAAACAGTACTACTCTTATTGATTGGTATTGGATAAAATGTGTCAATGAAAAAATCCCAATCAACCAAATGTCAATATACATTCTCTTCGGGACAGATAAAAAACAATACTCAATAGTTATTTGCTTAAAAGATCATCAGAATTGCCTTACTTGCAGTTCTTTGGTTTTTATAAGCGTTATTGCTCCTGTTAGCACTGATAATATGGAAATAAATGTACTTCACCTACTTGGTGGAAGACAAAATTTAAATCTTTGGAATATATTTTTCTTCAGTGGGAATAGCGGAGCTAAAACTTAGTTTATTTTTGTTGGTGTGCTATTGACTGTTTCAATAAAAATGACACTAGCATATCTCAGGTATATTTGTAGCAGCTAGAAACTCCAAAACATTCAGAACAACCTTGCTTCCCTTATTTTTGTCTATTGAGGACTGATAGAATCATTTAAGAAACCTGCAGTATATGAAGTTTTCCAGCTACAGTCATGAACGGGAGGTAAATTCCACAACTGTTGTCTTCTTTAACAAGTGTTCATTTCTAGTGATGAATAATTTGTTTAATGGGCATACTTTCCATCTATTAAGTCAAAGGGCTAATGCCTTCCCATCTTTTTTTCTTTTCAAATTTTTTTAAAATCTAATATCTCTTCCTAAACCATTTCAGTTATCATTATCATAAAGAAGGCAGTTTCTCTTTATGGTCAGCAAGCAGAAGAACATTTTCTCCAGTTTGTTGTCCTGTTTTTACATTAAATTAACTCATGATTCAGGACTTTTCCTTCCAAGAATCTTCAAGTAAAGTGGATACTTGGTAGATTTTTTTCAGGCTCTGCTACTTTACAAGCAATGATTACAATGCCGCAGGATGACAGCTCATATTTCTTCCTCAAGTTTTACTTATTAAATTTATTTATCTACATAGATAGATATTTCTATGCTGGATACATTCTTCATAAAATTATAGCAGGACAAGACCGGGCATTTTAGAGTGACTTATTCATTGTTTAAAAGAAAGCTTTCAATAGAATTGAAAGATTAAGATTTAATGACAAATATATAACTTCATGGAAACATATTTTAGTTCAATTAATAACGATGAGTAAAAACATTATTTTATGGAACTGGTAGTTTCAACAAACAGTGAAATAAAAATATACTTTTTAATCTCTTTTTTTCTTTTCTTTTTTTTTTTTTTTTTTTTGGAGTTCAGAATATAGGACAGGTTAAAACAAACAAAAAAATAGTGAATCAGTTACACCATTGATCGTACAGATAAAGAATTTGAAGCTATTCCTTTCCACGTGCAAAATATTGCTTTCATTTCAATGTGTGGCATAAGTTGAGGTCTCTATAAAAATATTTATAGTAAAATACAGAGTAAATCTATAATTACATTTAATCAGTTATAGAAAGATGCATCCAGTACTCAGACACTGTAATATTACTTACAGTTAGTCTATTTTACTTCAGTTACTGCTGAAGTAACAAAAAAATATGGTATAACAGTGCTTTGTGAGCCAAACAGCATATTTGCTCTAATCTACACAAAGCCCTGTAAATAACCTACAAGTTCTTAGTCATTATCTAATCTTGTATCCAAATTTTTCATTTAAACTCTTTCATTTTACTGCATTACACATAGAGTCCTTTAAATAACCATAAACAACTAGATTCCTTACAACGTAAGGAAGAACTACAGAAAATCATTCTGAATTCCCATGTAAAAAATTTTCTTAGAATTCCTTCTACTTTATGTACAAACTCCTTTGAAGGAACTGAAAAACATTTAGTAGATTGTCTTGGAATAGATCAGCAAAGCAGAATTCAATAACAAACATAAGGTGCTCTCTGAGCCATAGGCATAATAAAGCGTCTTGAAAGGTATTACGACACACTATTATTTTCATCTTTCTCCTTTCAGTTGGCATTCACATTGGCTTCTTTTTGACGTAGTCTCTCTTTCTGTTGTTAAAAATAGAAAGAACTTTATTATCATTCTTTCCTCTAATTTTCTGTCTGCTCTCAAGTTGCCTTAAGTATTTTGTCTACAATACTGAGAGGTACTACATGAGTCAGCAGATCAGAGTTTTGCTTAATTAAAAAGAAACAATCAAACAAAAAACTCCTGGAGCACTCAAGGAAGGCTCACAGTGAGTTCACTAGTTACTTTAGCGAAGCTGAGCTTGCTTTAGCTACACACTTGTCAAATACTGTGTGCCTTTAAAAATAGCCAGATGAATGAGCAGCTCTGTGAAGATCAGTGCAGTGAGAGTAAACAAGATTTATTTCTCAGTTTAATACCTCCTTTTGTCCAGGATGGTTTCTGCTGACATAAATACTCCAATTTAGCATTAGGTAGATTATGTTGTCTAACGACCCTTTCCCAAGCAATTTTAGTCGTTTTTATCTCTGCTGCCTATCCTGCAACTGATATGCTCTGTTGGGAATGGAAATAACTGACTTCCTTCATGTACATTTCCCTCCCATATTCTCTTGCATCCCACAGTTTGAGAAATTCTTTGCCTTGCACAAAGATAAAAACCAGTTTTGTCTACAGTGTAAATTATTACTCCTCTTTCTATGTCCTATAAAAAAGAAACTGGGAAACACTAATGACAAAATAAGGATTTGAACCCTTCTACCACTATTCAACAGAGTAAACAACATTTTGAAAGGTTTTAGAGAAAGAAGATACTCTCTCATTTTTAAAATGTGTACAGTGAGCAGTAAATAGCATGAAAGAAAATACAAGAGACTTAGCAGCAAGGGGGAAGAAACCAGAAAAGGTCTAATTATGTTTTGTTCTCTAGAATAGCAGAGCCATACTTAGGCACAACTAAATTAAGCTTTAACCTTCACTATTAGACTACTGTAGGGCATAAGCTTTACATTTTTTCTATGGGAAGAATAATAACCTGCTACATTCAAACTGACTAAGAACTCTGCATCACACTTCAACAACAACAAAAACCCACCACCATCCTGAATGACAAGAACAGTGTCACAAAAATATTCTAAATGTCATGCTGAGAAAGAAATCATACCAGGCTAGCCGTAGGATTGATTTTCTTTGTTTCAACTTTCTTCTCTGCAGTTAACTTGCTTACTGATTGCTGAGCCACTTTAATTCTGAAACAAAATATACACAAAAGGCATTGTTAGATTCAAAGAAATTCAAACTGCTCTAGATCTGTTTAATATATATTTTACCTGTAAAAAGTACCACCACCAACCTTTTTAGACACACTGACCAAACAGAATACTAATTAGTATTCAAAGGCACTTCATAAAGTACCAGAATAGATCAGAATGCATTTTTACTGAAGAGAAAAGCAAAAGCAAAAGCATGGTCTGTCTTCTGAGATTTTCAGTGTATAATGCAGGCAAACTATCTCTCCCTTCTTGTAGGATCAGGATTGTATGGAACCAAAACAGCTGCAGTAGGAAGGCAAAAAGATACTTAACAAAACATCCACAAGCCAGCTGGCTAGATCTTTTATATATATAGGATACAATATTTTAGCAAGACATTTGCTTGGTTATCCTCTTAATTTCCTCTGAAGATCTTGAAATGAAAGCATCTGCGATTTTTTATCTTAATGTTTTCCTTGTTGCTTTACATGGAATTGACAGGCCAATCTCACTGATGTGGTGATAGAGAGATACAAATTAGAAGAAGTTCTTGCACACAGATACTTAAGGCAGCCTTGTGCACAACTACACACGTCTACTAAAAGCAATACTGAGATAAGGGGAGAGAACACAGATCTGACTCCATTGTTTCTATTCTTGCCTTTTGATCTTATTGCACTGCAGATCCTAAACCCTGTGTTTCTGTGAGAATTTATTGAGAAGAACACAATCAGAAGTTTTATCAAGAGAGAAAGGAGAAAAGGACTTGACTCTCCTCTTTCAGACAGAGGAAAAGGCAGGGGAAATTATGTGCTAAATAGTGATAAAAAGGAAACAAAATTCTTGGTCTTCTGGAGACAGGGTCTGGCCAGCTATCTGCCTTTAAAATGCTGATGCTACAGACACCTACTTTACAGCTCAATATGCAATATGCAGAGGGAAACAAAATTGCAAGTGAGTTTTTACAAGCAAAAACTCAGCAATCCAGTTTTCACTACTACACACAAGATCAGCCTTTTACTATAAACACATTTCTTGGCACTCAGGAACTGAAAAATTGTATTTTCTTCTCTTATTTAATTTTTTCCACTAGTAGAAATAATTGTTATGGCCGGTCAAAAAGTATTAAAAAATACCACGTCCAGTTCAAACCACTTTTGACACGCTCAATTTTTGAGGAATTTTGGAAGAAAAGCAGAAAGGAAAGTGGATTATAGCTGCAATTACTGATGTGTATTTCTTTGTTGTAACATTATCAGCATACCCAATTCTGGACATCTTTTTAAAAATACAGAACACATTCATAAATTCCTCATTGTGTTTATCAACATTCAGTGTTGGAAAATAACATTCCTTGTTGTAATTCCTAGCTGCATGTACTATCTCAAATACACCAAGATGAAGTTACTATTCTGTACATTTTAAAACTTATCTGTAGCCTTGCTAAAAATTAATTAGCTTTCTCTGTGTCAAGCCAGCAACTAACATACGACTGTAACATACGACTCCATTCTTTTACAGTTTTTTGTTAATCAGTACATTTTTGCTTCTTTTTCATAGATAACAGCAGCCACTGAACAGCATGCTATTCCTCACAGCTGCAGAGGTTTATGCAAAGATGATAATTCATTTTAGGTGTGTGTAAACACGTTCAGCACAATCAAATGGAAGTATGAATTTCTAAACTTTTACCTGTTTCAATCATGTTTTCTTTCCTATCACATCCTCTTTGGTCCTAGGACAGTTTTCTGAACTGCTTTTAAATGTTTTGAGTCCACATTTTCAACTGAAAGGTGAATTCTAGAGATTATACATTCTTGGTCTTGAAAAGAAAATTATTCGTGTTGCTGATTTAGTTGTAACTCTGTGTTTTATTCTATATTTGCACTATATTCAAGAAATCTGGAATTTTTTACATGGAGTGAATAGTTTGGAATAGGGAATAAAAATAAACCAGCTCACTAAAATTATCTGAATCGTTCGATATTTGGTTCAGAGAGACATTATGAATACCACATTGTTCTTTTAGGGAAAAATCACTTTATTAACAAATGACTGATAAGATTAGGAGGAATTCACAGAAAGTTAAGTACATAATTTTAGATGAATATAATTTCCTGGGATTTTTTAAAGTCAATTATTAGCAAAGCGGTTAGCTCTGTAATTACATCACTGAAGCATCCACACTGTAAACTTGCCTAATAAATAGTTCTTTTCTTTGTTAAACATGGTTAGGGTGCTAGAACTGGCTACTGTACATGCAAGCACTATTGTTGAAATGAGAAAAACAAAATAGTATGAAAACCATCCAAATTTAAAATCATAAATTTGCCTGGTGGCGGTAGATTAATTTGTGTATTCCTTTCCATTATTTCAGGCTCACTGGCCTGCAGTTCTCTGGGTCTTCATTTCCCCCTTTCTTGAAAATGAGAGTGCTGTTTCCCTTTTTCCAGTCTCTAGGGACTTCGCCTAACTAAAAAGCCATGACTTTTAGAAGCTTGGAGACCGCACAATTCAAGGGGCAGAGCAGTCTAAGAACGACTAATTATAAACTTGGAAAAATATTTTTTGCAGAGGAAACAGCAATGGCTTGTCTTTACAGAAAACAGCTAAAGACTTACTTCTGACAGGGTCACGTCGGGGAAGGCCTGCTTTTCTTTTTCCTGCGTGTTTTATAATCTCAGCAGAGGAGGCAATAGATATTCCTCACACATTGTGTTTTGGGCAGCGTTAATCAGTGAATGTCACAGCTCAGGTCTACTTACCATACCAAGACATTAAACACCAATAGTTCTGGTGTCAGTGTGTTTCAGTGGAGAAAAAAGAAGATGTAAGGAATGCAAGTCAATTAAGCTTTGAAATCTGATCAACCACAACACGGTTATGTTTAAAAGAAACATTATTCTCATTCAGTGGTGAGCAAAAGAGGTCAATATATCCTGATGAATAAAGAAGATGCGATGTCAACTGCAATGCTGAGCAGTATAGCACAGTATCACACAATATGGAAAAGAAAACTGAATGAAGTAAACAAAGAAACGTATTTTTAATTGGGAGACTCATGACTCCAATATTGTATTTGAATCTTTACTATAATCAGAGGGAATATAATTTGCTTTTTTCCTGCCTCGATGTGACAGGTGTTGGCTTTCCCTCTAAACTAGATCCAAGTCATGCCTCTTAAATTGGACCATATTAGTGAAAAATATAAGCATCATTTTTATTTTTAATTTATAACTCCAACACAGAAATTCAACTAGAATATATGCTTGCATTTAATAAAGTTTTCATCGTAAGCCAGGTACTCAGCAGATAAACTCTTGCCACGTTCACTCTTGCTTCCCACCCAGCCAAACAGAAGGTGTGAGCTGGTTCATTCTGCACTTGAAAGCAGTTAGGATACAAAAACTCCTGTCTGAGTAAGCTACTCATGAATGTTCAGGTCTCTGGTATGCGAAGACAGACAATTATTTGGTAAAGTCCTTGCTTAGCATCACAATAGCCTTATAAAAGACCTTGAAGTTTGAAACACTTCTATCATTATATTATACAATAGAATTGGCTAGTCAAGCCTCCTGTCAAGTCTTCTAAAAAGAACTTGATCATTATTTATCAAATCTTTAAATTGTAGATAGAATAAATATTCATTTATATACATTTTTCTATGTTTGTCTGATATAGTTATCAGTGGAATTTCTCTCCAAATCTCAAAATGCTAATACACTTAGTTTGCTTTTACTTTTTTTCTGGATTTATTGATTATCTTTTTGAAGGTGATGAATTTTACCACTGTAGTCACAAGAAAAAAAATAACTTTATGCCTTTATCAAAGCTAATGCTTAAGAAAAGAACTGTAAGTCCCAAAAAAGCTATATCAGCCCAGACTAGAAATATGCTTCAGTTCAGCTGAGCTGGATACCACTAGATACTAAGGAACATCTAAGGATAGCCAAAGCATTCAGTAGCAATCCCCACAATGCTCTCCCAGCAGGAAACTCTCTATGAACAGTTCTTCATATTCTAATATGGATTTGCACCATCATCATTCAGAAGCAATGCAAACTTTTGGCACCTGGGACATCTGGTGGGGAAGGTATTCAACCAATTAAGTATGGCTACCGTAAGCAATTGTATTTGGCTTGTGCCAGCCACTTGCTAATTTCACTTGATATTGTGTTAAATGAGGTATGTAACAACTATTTCCCATTCAGTCTTCATGCTTTTAAGTTCTCTATTGTATCTTTTTCATTAGGTTCTGAGCAGCTTAGCATATATATCACATACTACATATGATACAGTGAGAGAAATTCACATTTAAAGTCAAGCTATAACATAAATCTGGCCTTTGAAAACTGTTGTAATGTCTTGAACTAAAGATTATTTTTCCTCATTGCTCACTGCAATATTGAAAACAAAAATATAATCCACTGCTTCCTCTGTGGCAAGTGCTCCTGCCAAATTTCAGTTGTTAGGTGCAAGTGAGCCTCACAGATTAGCTTAATTGATGGTTAGACCAATAATGTGCACCAAAAATGAAAGAGGTAGAAAGCTATAGCCAACTCCAGCTTACTAGACTAAACAAAAACTTACTGGGCACCTTCACTGCCCTTTTTATTGTTCAGACAACTACTACCATTGCTACTCACACTCTTACATTCAGAGCTTCAGCATTTTAAACCTGTGATTCATTGCTTTTGTGCATCCCAAAAAAACAATCACTATTGCTCTTTTCACAAGATAAAGCTGATACCATCAATGTGTTTTGTGCTAGTGATAACATTGAAGAACAAAAAAGGCATTAAAAAAGGGACCTTCTAAAAGCAGGAAGCACCCTATTTTTAAGATGAGACGTATTTCTGTTTATCAAATGACTGTGTCTTCTCTAGACATTGAGACAAACTCTGGTCCTTTTTTGTTTTCTGATTTCTATTACCTAGCTGTGCAATTTGTATGTGTATTCTATCTAAAAGAAATGATAGACTTTCTTGTGGTCACTGTTGCTACAATCTTACATTTGTAGTGGAAGCAGGGAGAAACATTAACAGCAATAATTGCATTCCTATATGGTTGCTTCATATGTAAAGCATAAGAACATGATAATCCTCATCACACTTATTTTGCAAAGCATATGATTACATTCTGTGATTTTCTATTCATCACTGCAAACTACTTGTTTTTTTTTTAAATATATATGCTTATATTTTTTCCTCATACTCAGACTTGACTAGAATATTATGTTAAAATACACTTCAATAGATCTTGAATGCTTTAACGGACTTATGGGCAGATATTCACATATTAATACACATTTATTTTGATTCTGAATGCATAGATATTCTAACTGAAAATAAAATTGAATTAAAAAAAGGAAAAGAGACTTGTAGATATGCAATTTGCCACAGTATAAAAGGGCAGAACTTTGTTCCGGACTTCAGTTTTGTTAGCATCCCAAAATCTCAAAAATAATAAGAAGAAAGCAAAAAAAGGCAGTTGATGTACCTGGATGCACAATCAAAAAGTTTCTTCATTTTATCTCTATAGTCATTTATTTGTTGTATTTATCTAGGTTTGTTATCTATTTGTTTTTTGTTTTTATCTTGGTTTTTTTTTTTTTTTTTTTTAATGGTGTTCGAATTTTGTCCAGGAAAGAGACAACGATTCAACAATATTTTGCAGGCAGCTGATTTATTTTCATGGTGAGTTAAGTGCCAGGCAGCTCTGTTAAAGTGTTTCCTTTACTTCATGAAAAAGCATTAATCTAATTAGATTTCTACAGTTGTGTTACATTTAGAAGCCAAGTAGATGTTAGACAAAACAGGCTCCTGCAGCTGAGGCTGTCATTTTGTTACAGGGGATATCCTTTCTCCCAGAAATTCAGAGATTTTATAGTTTCTCTTATGCAACACAAACTAGCTCGTTTTGAGTATAAAAATTTAATTTTCCACTTTAAATCTTTTGACCCAGTTCACTACTATTAATTTTAAGGCAATACATTTTTAAGAATGTATTTGGCATGGCATATTACTGATAATTCTGCATATTATAATTAAATTTAGAATTTTCTGAGCCATACTTTATGAATGAGAAATTATAATCCAATATTGACATTCCCCTATAAATGTAAACAAATCCATATTTACGTATCTACATGACTAGATTAATTCAGATACATTTTATACTTCTGCAGCTCCTCCTGAAATTTGAAGGGTAAGGTAACAGTAAAGGTGTTTATATAAGAATATCAATGTCTCAGTTTCAGAGCCCAACAATGAAAATACTGACTTATGATACCAATTTTTCCTCTTTAAATTTTTTTTAGAACAAAAGAATTCATTGTTGATGAACATGATCTTTTTTTTTTTTTTTTTCTTTTTAATTACCATCTCTAGAAATGCAAAACAAATAGTGCATCAAATTAATTAGCCAGTTATGGAAGACAGCTGTCCATTCCTGTCATACTGAGGTTTTTAGTTACCAATGTGCAGAATGAGCTTGCTTTCAAAATTTCTTGGGCATCAGTTCATCAACTATTAGTCTCACACTTTGTAAAACAAAACCTTAGAAGGTCAGGAATTCACAGGACATTTTCAGATGAGTGAAATAGTTTTCCCATCATTTAAATTTACTGATTTCATGAGGTTCTTCTTTTCAGTAGCACATTACAAAACAATTTAGGATGATGAAAACAGCTCTTCTGTCATTCTAATTTACTTATTACACAAAGATCCTCATTTCAGCACCTCATAGTCTTGATGAATCACCTAGATTTTTAATGTAAACAACAATGAATTGTTCTTTTGAGATTAATGAAACTTTTAAAAAAATCAAACTCTGAAAAAGTCTATAATCCAGAAATTAGCACTTTAAAGAAATATTCTAACAAGTGGCATTGCTTTACATTCATGAATAAGAATAAAAATATGTATTAAAGGAACTGATGAAATATTTGCAATCTATTTTTACTATTACATTTTATTTACATTATTATTAAACAGTAATTCTCATCTCATTCCAGCAAGAAAACACAGAATACAGCAGTTTACTCAACAAAGATTTCTTGAACATTGTTTTAAGAAACTTTGAGGGTTTTTTTTCTTTCTTTCTTTTTTTTTTTTTAAAGATTTCTAATGTATTAATCAAACATTATATTAATCAACAACTTAAATCAATTGCTCTGAAGGGATCACTGTATCCCATCAGCAAAGCACTAACTACGTACAAAGGAATAGAGGTACGCTCTGGATGAATTTTTTCTCTGAACTGAAGTTTATCCATGATACGATCCCTAGATGATTAGAGCAATCTTCTCAGTGGCTAATAATTTTACATGTTTTTTATTTTGGAAAACTATTTGAATATTGACTTAGAGAAAAAGAATTAAAAGATTCTGACAGTGTTCACAGTTGCCAGCTTCTAAAATCAATTTAACTATTATACAGATTATACCAACACCTACAACTTTCAAGAGTTTAAAACCTGTAAAACAATGTACAGTAGACTGACAATCAGGAATTTATATTTTCTCCATTTTGTCCTTTAAAAATCTATTCACAGGATTCTAAGATCCCCACTGATTTAAAGCAAAAAAGGCAAGTGTAAGTGCTAAGATCTTTTAGAAAATCTTTTCTTTACATCTGTGTCACTTCAGAATACACACCTGGGTTTGTATTTCATGCTTAAAGTGATTAGTCCATTCTTTTCCAAAGCATGATCACAATACTACCTTTTAGGTCTTTTCAAATGAATTGAGATATGATTAACATGGCATTTACTCACTCATAGTATAGATATCTTTGGAAAAGATTTTTAGCTTCTTTAAGAAAAGTGTGCAAATAATTGAAGGATTTATATTTTATTTTTTTACTCTAACTAATAAAATAAGTTGACTGCGGTGAGATTCAGCGGTAAGTAGTTTGAAGTCCTCAGCAGGACACCAAGAGTCAGAAGTGGTGCTGTAAATTCAGTGTTGGGCTTCAACACAGTGCTAAGTGTGGCCTGAATCTCTGGGGCTTCCCTTTGAAGCAAGTGCAGTATATTAACTGGAAAAGCATTCACTTTTATTTGTCTGTACTGTCTGCGACAGCAATATCGCCTCATTTAGGCTAGTTCAACATGAAAATGCACAGAGAAGCAATCTGTTACAAATTAGCACAGCTCCCCTTTCATTTTACTAGCTAGTAATTGGAAGGGGTTACAAAAGTGTAATTTATCAGATTATATGTGTTTATCTTTTTGTGGGGACAGCATGCCTTTGGTGAATTTTCCTACGCACCCTGAGGGAATAATCTTTCCTTGATGTCCATTAGATCTGAAAGAAAACAATGACGCCTGTGAAATATAGGAGTATAATTTGTTAGGTTTGAGAAGGAACAGTTTCCCAGACATCTAAAATAGTATTAATGACTTTATTAGAACCTTACCGCTCCTTGGAAATGCTTTTGCTCTCTCGTTTCCAAATGGTCTTGAAGTCACTGCAGAATTCGTACCACACCGTGAAAACATAGTTTGGTGTGATCTCCTTCTCACCAGGCTTTGGCTTTATCCCAAAGTATCCCACTGTTTCTTCAAAGCTAGGAGGGGAAGAAAAAGAAACTGTCAACAGTAAGCCTACGGGGGAAAGTTTGTCTGAGGGCTGATTCCTGATTTGGTAGTCAAGGCTGGCAGTTACCATAACTTTCCCTTAGCCTTGGAAATCATAGCAGCAATTCATGCTGGGTGTAACTATCCTTCCAATATCTACCTCACTCTCAGGAGGTCAGCTTATAGATGCATGAACCGCCACAGAGATATGTCACACAGTCAAATCATGGGCTCAATTTCTTGTATTACAGGAAATGTTATATTCTACCTAAGTCTTTAATATTATTCACAATGTGCCACTGAGACCTTATTTTGCCATTTCTCTTTATAGAAAGACTACAGAAGAGTCATGTGCCAAGTGAGGAAAAAACCTCCAGCTCTGGTTAAAAATAACTTTCAAATAGTTAGAGATTTTACAGAAAATAAATTGTCTCCTTCCCAGTGTGTCCATAAGCAGATAACAGCAATGAATTTTATGAAAAAAAAGAACATTATCAATATGGTAATGCACTTTTATTTTATAATGCAGCTACAGAATTGTTATGCAACTAAATATTTTCATTTTCATATTTTTGTTACAGAAGATACTTTTGACAATATTTTAACTGATTGTGCTTATTTAACCTTTATGATATTGCTTTGTGCAGATAAAATGAAACAGTTCACATTACTAATAATAGCACATGGAGGTTGATCTAAATGAACCAAAGTAGTATGTTCACTTTTGTAGAGGTTGAATCACTTCTTTCTGCAAAGCATAGGTCACAGAGCAGTAAGATTTGGTGATAGTTATTAAAAGTAATATGTATTTTTCACAGTCTAAAGAAAGATCAGTGGTAATTTGTACTTTACATTACTTTTTTTGAGCCCAGAAAGACTCCTCCTTACTTGGACATCCAGGTTGGTCTTTCTGCACAGTCAGAAAAAGAGATAGAAAACTCCCAAATATCTCCCAAGACAATCAGTGTCTCAGGTGAACTGTTCCCATTTGCTGCAGAATGGGCAGAAAATTAGCTCAACAGTTGACTAGCAGCTGGCTGACCTGCTTAATTTCTACTTATTGACAAACTTTCCTTCTGTAGCACAGTTGTTTTCATGTCCCCTCTGCTCTGCAGCCTTTCTGGAGCAGAGTAGGCTCTCTAGGGTACAAAGGTACATCTAATTTGCAGTTGACATAAAGAATTAGTTGTCTGATACTGAATTTAGGTTTCTCAACTGCTAACATTCAGCATTTTAAGTTACTGCTGAAAAAATCTGTTACTCCTAAAAGTCAGGAAGCAGCCCAGGAAGCTAGAGCAAGCTGAACGACAACAAACAGTGCTAACTGGGAAAGATCAGAAGATGAAACATGAAAAGGGGCAAAGCACTAAGTGTCAGGATGAAGGCAGAGGAGGGTGGGACAGAGGAATTTGAGGTTCAGGACAGCTCTGTCAGTTGGAATAGAGGATTCAGCTAGGAAGTTAGCAGGGCTGCTGTTACACGAGGCAGAGTTGCAAAGAGCTTCTGGTCCTTCTGCTCCCTGCTCAGCTACCCTGGTCAATTTGTACATCCAAACAGCTGAGAAATATTTGGCCAACTGATTGTAATGCAAATGAAGTTAAAAATCAGCGCATTGTGTATCTATTATTCGATATATCTGATACTCTTTTCATAGATGGTCTTCAAAAAATGCATGAAAAGTGTTTTGCAAGCTTTTCTTTAAATTGTCTTATCATTTTACATTCATATGAATGGAGCAGAACAATCTTGAGTAAGTAAGAGGTTAAAGGTAGACACTTCGATCTAATAAAAATGTAACCTGCTACACAATATTTAATAGAAATAACAGTTTCTTATCTATCCATGTATCTACTTGTCTTACTTCTCCGTATGTTGCCTCTTCTGGCCCAAGCGATGTATAGATGTTCAGATCAGAAAGCCATTTGGATTTCCCTGGTTTCTTAGTATATCACATTCAGTAGATTAAGGTGATGAAGAAGTTTTGTGACAGTGAAACATATTTTTACTACATTAAGTAGTTAATCAGTTACTACAATATTCTTTAAAACAAGGATTCAATTCAATGTTGACAGTAATTAAAACCTCAAACACAGGAGACTGGCTAAAAATCCAACTGAACTTTTTCCTGGAAGACTATATAAGAAATTTTCAGAAAGCATTACTTCTTTGAAGTACAGATGCTTTTTCCTACTTAACATCATTCCTACATCAATAACATCTTTAACCAAAAGCAAACAGTTAGGAAAAAAAAAAAAAAAAACACGCAGAAAAAAAACCTTACCATTTTTGTGCATTTTCCAAACTGCTCTCTTCTTTTTTACGTTCTTCTTTAGCTGTCAGTGAGAAACATTACAAACATATAAATTACTGCCTTAATGTTTTAGAGATTCCACAGATTCAGCATTCCTTCCATTCAAAATTAGATAGGTTGTATGCTAGATATAATAGAAGTAATAAGCATTTACTAATTTTCATTTTTTGTTTATTTTTTATACCTAAATCTATACTCCTAATATAATAAGAAAGTGTACTGGATTTCAAAAGTAATTTAAAATCTGATACCATAATACATAGAAGCATATATTAATCAAAATAAAAGGAAATAATTAAACTTGACATTCAGATTTTTTAAAAAAAGAGCACTAAGTTGTGCATATTCCTTTATTGTTGCAGAATTTATAATTTTAAACCAATTTCTGCAGTGCAAATAATTGGAAGTTGCTGAACAGGTAACAAACCCAGTTAACACGAACTGTTCCATATAGCTATCACATTTTGTTCAGGAAACTGGAAAGTGAAAACACATGTACTGAGTTTTAAATGTACAAGATTTTTTGAAAAAGCAGCCAAGAGTCTGAAATATGGTCACTGAATCTGAACCTTTCTGTTACAGAGTACTCAGACAAACTACTTACAGGGATTTGATTTTTCAAAGGATGGGATTTCTCTGCTTTTCAATCTTTTCCTCAAGCAAAAGCCCTAGTTCTGTTTGAAAAATGCTGATAAATTCTTCTTAATTCCATATACAGTATAGCCAACTTAGCTGCAGCAGAATACTACGTATATAAAAAAAAATATTATAGGGGAAGACTTATTTGCATTCCACAACAGAATAAATTCAGAATTCAGACACTGTAATGATACAAAGATAAAGAACTGCTCTCTCTTTAGGAGTGCACATATTGATGAAATGTAGTTACAGTTATAATCTTGATTTCAGACAAGGCCATCAAGAAATGCATGCAGAATGACCCCATTTCATGACTACGATACTTACACAGAGATTTGTATTAAACTAAAATCACTTAAGAACTGGTTTACTTCAAAACACTGCTGAAACATTGGCAAAACTAAGTAATTTCTATTCATGTGTTGGGCAAATATGTTGGAGACACTAATTCAGATTATATAATTATGGCAAAAGCAAAAAACAGTGTTGTGTGTCCTGTGCAAAGAAAACAAGGAATTCTATATATACATTTAATAGGACAAGGGAAAACAGTTTCAAACTAAAAGAGAGTCGTTTTATGTTAGATATAAAGTTTTCCCAACAGGAGTGGTGAGACACTGGCACGGGTTGCCCAAGCAGGTGGTGGAAGTCTTGTCCTTTGGAGATATTCAAGGTCAGGCTGGACAGGGCTCTGAGCTGCCTTATCTAGCTGTGGGTGTCCCTGATCATTGAGGGCAGCTGGAGTAGATGACCTGTAAGGGTTTCTTCCAACTAAAATGATTCTAAAATTCTAGGCCATTACTTCTCTACCTCAAATCTTACTGGTAAGACAGCTACCACTGAAAAATAGAACAGCTCTGATTTACTGTGTTTGTTTCAGGCTAAAGTTCATCTAATATACTTAGTTTCCTATTTCCATGGCTCTGACATTTTTTATCATTAAAATTGGGAAAGATAAGCAGTAATTTTGATAGTTTATAATTATACAGATTAACTACACATAGGAAAATCAAAACAGTTAAAAGCTAAACTGTGTATAAAATTGAACAGTGCATGATAATATTTATAGTTCAGTGTAAGAACTGAGCTACTGGCTTTTAATCTCGTAAGAACACATTAAGGAAAGATGCAAGTAAAAAACTTAGAGAAAGCAGAAAAAAAATATGCGACTTCTAGGAAAGAACATGCAGAGTTTACATTATTATGACAGTGTGTTTGTTTGTGTACCAATACAAGGGAAAAGAGGAAGCAAGAAAGTAGCTATTATGTGTATGATAGTGTTCTTCATACCTTTAACTATAACCACGTCTGTTCAAGCCAGGGTCAGGGAGGAATTTCTGTATCTTTTTACAAGCAAGAATTTGAAAGGAAAACACTTATTTAAAAAAATATGTTGTTGTAATCTGCTGTAGGGATATTTTTTTTGTAATGCAGCTATAGGCTCTGGACACCAACCACTGGTCTTACTCATTCTGCTATCTGTATCTCATGCTGAGGATGAAAAAGCAACACTAGCTTGAGAAATTACCAGAAAATATTATTCACCTAATGGATACACAGCAGCTGCAAGCTACAACGGGACCAAGATCATGTATCGAGGTACTAGGAAATAGTTCTCAAAAGAACAAAGGGAAGTCAACACTGAATAGTGTCAAAGACTGCATGCTGGAGAAAGCAAATAACCAACAGTCAAAAGAAGAAGGATGAGACAACTTGCTCTAAGAGTTCAGGACAAAGAAAGAAAAATGGGTGCACAGGTAACAGTTACATCTGCCCTGCTAGTCCCACCACCCTGCATGGAAAATCTGCATTTGTCAAGTATACAAATCCATCTAAGTAGAATAATTCACCCAAGTCTACTGATCTAGTTGTGCTTATTACAGATTTATCTTTTTTCCAGTATCTTATTATTTTCGGAATTGAAAGATCTCATGTGTATCATTTTATCACTTCTATAAACACTCCAGGGCAAAGAGAAATCTTCAAAATTATGAGAATGCTCAGAAAGTTAGCAGTTGGGGTACAGAAATCAGAACTCTGATTTATATTTCAGGACTGAATTCATGTGGGTCACAAAGCTTATGCTTCATAGACATTTAAAGACTAGCTAGTTAGAGGGTTTCTTTGGGGGAGGGAATAGAATGGAGGGGTGAACACCCCAAAACAAGGCTTTTTTGTTTGTTTTTTTTTTTTTTCCTCAAGGAAGAAAGTAAGTCTTTTCTGACTCATCAAACTAAACTAAACCAAACCAAACCAAACCAAACCCAAGTGATATGTCTCTCTGAACGTACAGAGGGTTGAGATGTATCCTCAGAAAGGCTCAGATTTTATTTTTTTTTCCTGAAGTGCTAAATCTCACATTCTGTGGCATTTCTGAGGTTAAGGAGAACAAGCCTCTATGGTCATTGTCTTGACCTTTTTGAAGACATACTACCATTTGTAACAGATCAAAATCTCTTAGAAATTATGTATTGCAGCTATATCTGAATATCAGAAAGACAGAATCACCAAGGTTGGAAAAAACCTCCAAGATCATCTAGCCCAACTGTCCACCTATCACCAATATTTCCACAGTAAACCACGCTCCTTAGTACAACATCTAAGCTAAAGTCAGAAAGCTCTGTAGTTAAAAGTACGCTAAATATGTATATCTCCACGTTGAAGTACAATGAACATAAATAATAAACTTATCAACTGTATTTAATCAGACAATGTGCAGGGTGGAAAAAAAAAGTCAAACAAGGCCTTCTAGATGGTAAAACAGAGTAGAGAGGATCATTATAATCAATACACATGTTTTGTCTTTATAAAAATTTCTGTATATGCTTAAAATCCTAGACACCATAGTAATATAAAAAAACAGGAGGACCAACAGCAGGGTGAATTTAGCCTCCCTTGGTTTTGCTTTCAGTAGAACTATTACCAGTGAAAACTTCCAAATAGACTTCATTTTTAAGAAATCCCTTACTCAGGACATCCACTGTTTGTAAACTCAAGGGAAAAGGAGACCTTTTAAAAAACATTCTTTTATCCAACTATTCAGTATTCACAGGAGGGAATCAAGTAAAGACATTTTCAATGTTTATTCCTTGTTCATAGGAATATGAAAACAATGACTGGACTACAAGCAGAAAGAAAACTTCACAGGGGGTGCACTTGATGGTATATGGCAGTTCTGGGAACTTAACAACAATCTAATGAAGGACTCCCCTCAGGACTGTTATTTTAGAGTCGGGATGGGTTGACCCTGGCCAGCAGCTAAGCACCACACAGTCACTCACTCACTGTTCTCCAACAGTGGCATGAGGAAGCTAATAGGAAAGGGCAAAAGCAAGGAAAAAAAAGCACAAGCAATGCAAAAGTAAGCAGTCACAACTATACAAGCAGACTGAAGCTCACCCAGTTTTGATGCAATGACTACCTACTACAAATTCCCTTCAAATCCATTTTGAGTGCTGAGCCTGACATTATGTGCATGGAATATCTTGTTGGTCAGTTTGGGTCAGCAGTCCAGGTTCTGTCCAATTCTAACTACCTGCCCACTCTGGCCTAGTTGCTGCTTGGGGACAGAGTGGAGAAGAAAACCAAGCCTTGATAGTGTGAAAGTACTGCACAGCAACAACCAAAACATTGGTTTGTTATCAATATTGTTTTAGCCACAAATTCTAAACACAGCGCCGTATGGGTGTCTATGAAGGACATTAAGTTTCATCCCAGCCAGATCCAGTAAAAGAGCACATAACCACATAGAAAAATCACTACAGATGGATTCTAAGATTTAGCTGAATTGGATACGTTTATTATTTTTGTGCATATAATTTTGTGCATTATTTTTGTCAGGCTTATAATTTATAGTTTTGGTTCCAGTCACTAGATTTATTATGTCAAATAATGTGTAGTTTTCAATGCAGTACAAGATTTTATTGATTGGATGAACCACATGCATGAGGGTAACAACTCACGCAACTGTTAGTAAATATCATTAACCTGCGTATAATTTTTTTATTATTAATGTTATTTTACTGGCTAGAAAAAGGACCCTGCATAAATATGCAGTAATTGCATGTAATTGCAAATGAATTATAAACAACGATTTGTATGTTGTATATAACATGAGAAAATACTTTTCATTACAGAACTCTGCCAGAATTCAGTTTCTTGGCACTAAATTTTAAAGAAATGGAAATCAAATTAATAGAATTTTTCAAACAACAAATGCCAAGTGCAAATCAAAAAGCATTCATGAAAATACATATAAATGCAAGAGAATTTAAAATCAGAAAATTGAGGGAAAGCCATAATATTTACTGCATTTCGAAAGCATGGCTAGACTGATAAAGAGTAAGTATGGTATTGAGTATAAAATTGGTTTTTTGGAACTGT